CTGGCAAGAGAATGTCGAAATTTTCTTATTCTGATCACCATCGATAATAGATGTTCCCAGTGTTGTTTTCAAAAACCCATGGGTGTAACTATGTTCTGAACAAATTTTGATAGAACGAAGGTAGTAAGGTACGATTCTTACTATTCAAAATGGAAATGCTAAGAGATTAAAACTATATTATTTATGATTGGTTTGAAGTTGACGAATTTAATGCATTTTTGCTGAAGATCTTTGTGAATGATTTTCTAGAAAGATTTTTCATTGATTTTTGGTTTTACTTCCTCTTATTTGTGAAGAAGAGCTTAGATTCGACAAATCTATGCAAGACTGCAATCTTTCGAGTATATCGTTTAAGAATCACAAAGGTTTTTCGAAGATCCTCGATTTCGACTAACTGATCTCCGATCATCTTAAAACAGTCCAGATAAGTATAATGAACCACGATAACTCTATTGGAGATATTTGTTTCCAGTTTCAGTGGTATTTTAAGTCACCATATGACAATCTTTAAAATGTATTCTAGAATTAGAGTGTTGAAAATTTTTATCTAGTGACTTAGAATCCCACTGAAACTGAAAACAAACATCACTAATAGACCGATCATGGTTCATTAGCATTATCTGGACTCGTTTTGAGATGATCTGAGATCAGTTTCTGGAAATCGAGGATCTCTGAAAAACATTTTTTAACTCTTGAAAAATGCACTCTAAATATTTCAGCTTTGTATAGATCATTAGAATCTGAACTTCTCTTCACAAATATACGTAGGTAAATTCAAAATACAAAGAAAAAGTTTTCTAGAAAATAATTCTCAAGATCTTTAGGAAAAGTGCGTTGAATCCGTCAACTTCAAACCAATCATAGATCACATAGTTTTAAACTCTTAGATTTTTCTTTTGAATAGTAAAAATTGTAGCTTGCTACTTCTGTTCTATTAAAATTTATTTATAAAATAGCCACTCTCATTGGTTTTCGAAAACGACAGTAGTACGAAAAAAAAATTGATGGTATGGTAGACGTTTTTTTTTTGACATATAGATTTAATTATATAAGTGTAAGAAAGCAGAATTTATTCTCATTTTAAAAATGTCGACTAGAATCATACAACTAATATAACCAAAACAAAAGTGACTGTCAACCATACTATTTTGATGAATTAATTCTTTGTTTGGAAAATTTAATCGATACATCTTGATCTGAATTTTCTCGACCATCGAAATTATATCATATCTTCAGTCTGTCTTCGATCTTTTGGTTCGCTACTCATAGAAACAGAAATTTTCAAAGCTCATCTATATTTTTTTCTCTTCAGCATACTGCATGATTTAATTATTTTTTGTAGAATTTTCAGAATTTTTTTCTCTCGAATAAATGATAGTCAACTAGACATTTAAATCTTTTTCATTCATATATGATTGAATAGAGCTTTGATTTATCTATCGATTTATGTAATTTTAGTCCAATATAACTGAGTTCTTGTATAAGTAAATTTTGGATTATACAAATAGCATTAGACGCCTATTTTTTATTAGTACAACATTACCTAAAATTTCAACAGTAAAATAAAATTTTCTCCTTAAATTCAAAGCAATTTCATTCAATATTTTCTACAGCTGTAAGTTTGATGGATCTCTTCAATTTAAAACCATTTTCACAAAAATTGGATTTAGTCTCATTGAGATATGAACGTGTAAAAACGTTTTTCTTTAAAAGGACTTTCGAAATTTATTAAAGTTTTGACACAATTGCGAAATCAATCAAATTAAAACTATACAATTCGATAGGGTTATCAATATTCTATTCAACCATATAAGAAGAAAAAACTTCTGAAGTTTTACAGAAATATAGTAAGTTGAAGAAAACTACTAGTAAAAATAAGTAAATTAGACTGTACATGTTACATAGAGAATATAACAACTCTATTTATACTGTACGACCTTTATTCTCTATACATATACTTGTTTCTTTATGATGGGCTATTGGTAAAAAAGAAGAGAAAATAAGAACGTTGAGATTTTTTTCCTTCTATTCGTTTGAATTGCCTCTAATAAAAAGAAAAAGAACTCATGTCTTACGAATATAATCGACAAAAAACATCTACAGCACGACAAAAAAAAAGCATATCATATATAAATCATAGGTTATATGTATAATTACTCTATTGAAAAGATGAATTTGGAATCAATAGCAAATGAATTGTTACTCAATCTTTTTGAATATTTTTCCAGTGTTCATCTTCTTCAAATTTTTTATAATCTCAATATTCGCTTCAACAATCTCATCTTTCGTCATTTCCAAAGGCATAGTCTTAATTTTCAATCAATATCAAAATATGATTTTGATATAGTTTGTTAAAAATATCTTCCATCAATAACCAATCAAATAATTTCTCTTCGTCTTTCAGACGATGATGTGATACTCCACAACAAATTGATCTGTTCTTTTCATATGGTTTATCTTTTAATCAATTTTCTCATTTACAATAATTATCAATTTATCATGTTTATTCTTTAAATTCACTGAAAAAAATAACAAGTGAACTACTTTATCTTTCTCATCTTACACATCTAAAAATAACTAGACATACAATTGTATATAATGAAATATATGATATTGAAATTATTGATTCAATCGAACGATTTCCAAAACTTGTATATTGTTATTTAGATATAATAAATGATAATGAATATTGTTTTCTAACACCATCAATTATTTCTTCATCTCTTAAATATTTATCTATTCCATATTTGGATTGTAATATAAATCAATTAATATATTTAATTAAACATATATCTAATCTTCAATCACTTAATATACGTATTGTAGAACATTCGATTATTCTAGAAACACTAACAAATTTTTATCAATTAAAAAATTGAAAATTAGTTTTTTTAATACATTAAATACAATGAAAAATCTTTTACAAACAATGTCAAATTTAGAAAAATTAAAAATTGAAATGGAATCAACTTATATTGATGGTTATCAATGGAAAACGATAATTGAAAATTATTTACTAAATTTAATTATTTTTCAATTCAAAATGTCAACACCATTATCTAATCAAGATAATAAAGAAGACAAAATTGATGAAATATTAAATTCATTTTATAGTCAATTTTGGATTGAAAAACATCAATGGTTTATTCAATGTTATTGGATAACAGCTGATACATCATCAATTGTTTATGTATATACATTACCATATGCATTTCAAGATTTTTTTTATATTGGTAATGTTCGATTAAAATCAACATGTCCTAATAATAATCAATGTTGGTCTTTTGATTCTATACATAATTTATATTATGGACATTTTCTATCTCAAAATTTGTCTTTATCTCATATTCATTTAGATAATATTCATTATTTGGATTTAACAATACCATTTGATGAATCATTTTGGTGAATGGTATCAACACTTGAACGATTAAATTCTTTAAATATTGTTTCATATGGTAATAAAGATTTGATTGATATTCATTCAAAATTACAAATATTATTTGATCGATCACCTCATCTTTGCTAATTAAAATATTTCTCATGGTTCGCTCAAGATGAATTTCCATTTAATATAAAACATTCATCTATTCGACAACTTGATTTACAAGGACCAAATATTATTTATAATCAATAACAATGTTTAAAATTAAGTCATTCATTAATTGGTCAACAATGTAAAGTTCTTTTTATTACTGTTAAACAACGAACAGATATAATTGATCTAATTAATAATATGAAAAATCTTCATGCATTAATTGTACAATGTAATAAGACAATACCAATGCAGAAAGAAAATGAAAATCTACTTGATTGGTTACAACAACATTTGCCAATAACATGTTTGATTTCAAATTCTATAGAAATTAGCAATAATATTTGTTTGTGGATTCGTTGATGAAGAATTTAGTCTATATATGAACCCTTGTCTAATTATTTTATGAGAAAAATTTTAATTCTTTGTCTGACTAAAGAGTAATTTAAGGCGCAACAAATTCAAACTTATCAGACCTTTTCTTTTATGTTCGATTATACTATTTGATAGAACTTTGCAAACTGATTTAGAATATCTGATTGACGTAAATTTTCAGATGAAAAAAATCGAAGACTTCGCAGATCCCTTTTTTCAAGAACAGTCGTTTTCTTTTTTAAACGAAATAACTCAGTCGAATTCATTTCTCGAGTTTTTATTTTCAATGATAGTTTATTGTGAGCTATCTATTAGTAATACGTATTACGAAGACATCTATACTTATTATACTAAATATAATTAATTGCAATGTATTGAAATATAAACATCACAACTAGCAGTCTTCAAGAATTGAGAAATTGAAATTCGTAAATATTGAAGAACTATCAGTGATATCATGATAATTTCTCGGCGAACGAGATTAATCATGAATTCTATCGATTTGTAATATCGCAAGTGATGCATTGTTCCATCTAATATTCATTGTCATACGTTCATCTTTGGAGAACATTCCACTGATCTGAATTTAAAAGCAAAAAAATATCGTGGGTAATACACTTTTGTGATTTTGAGGATCATAGAATGGTAGGAAGATTCAGGAGATTATTCCTCAATGATACCTGACAGAATTTGTACATAATCAAAAAATACACTTATTTATATGATTGATCCAATGACAGACTCGTAATACAAACTGTCTTTATCGGTTATACACATAAAAGATTTGTAACGAAAATAGAAAACCTTCTTTTAGTCTATGAGAGCGTTAACAGTTTTTGCACTAAAAATAAGAAATAATTTTCATTCTATAATATGTAAAAACACTTCATTTTTGACATAGACAATCTTGAGTGTTCAAAGATACTTTGCCTTTCAACCTAAATATATATATATAAATGATTTTTTTAAGATGAGTTAACACAGGAAGTATGAATAATGCACGATATCGCCACATAGCATCCGTATTAACAAATGGAAATGTGTTAGTTATTGATAGACTCAGTGGTTTTTCTCTAAATAGTTCAGAATTATGTTAGTTATCTTAAATAGATTAACAATCAATAATCTTATGTTTATTTATACTCGCAATCGTACTTTAGAATCCTATAATTTGACAAAGAACACTATTATATTCTAACAATGATAAATTTTTTCTTTTGATGTCTTTGCTAAATTGAGATAAACTTGAAAAAGTCCATTTAACATAGCACAAGAGTTTTGTATCTATGGTTTTTTTTTGAATAAGTTTATAATAATGATAAAAGTATCAGACGATATGATGATTTTTATTGTATTCAACCGGTTTTGTTAGATTGATAATTTCTTTTCTTTAAAAAAATTCAATTCTTTGTATGATAATAAGCGATGCCGTTTTAATGCTTTCTGCTACATTTGGAGCGTGAAATTTTGTATTATTGAAGTAATTTTTCAGAGTTTATTTTTCTTATTAAGAATAAATCGTAATTGTACGTCCTACACATCTTCAATGAGAAGTTTTATTTCAACATTCGAATGAATGAATCGCCATTTAAATCTTTTCTTGATGTGCTTTTGACATGATAGAAACTTCTAAAAATATCGTTGTGATAAATGAGTACAATCAATACGAGCAGAATTTCTCAATTATCTATTTTCTCTTTATTTCAGTTTTAGATGAATATTTACCTCATGTATTCGAGTTACAATTTGTGCATTTCAATTTGGTATCTCAATCGATTGAATGATACTTTCATTAAGAATTGAGTTGATAATTAAGAATGTCTTTCGTAGAGATCAGACATTCATGTTAATCACGATGTTTGAGATTTTGTTTTAAAATAAAAATAGATTTAATTATCATTCTCAAAATTTCTGAACATAGTATCTCAGATATATGAATGTCTGAGATGTGATATTCAAAAATTTTGAAACTCTTTTTATAAGCTATTATAATCGAGTTCTGTATTTAGATGAAGCTTCAGATCAAAGTTCAATAATGTGTTTTTGTTGAAAGAACTCGGATTCTGTAGAAAAAACTCCGTTAATGACTCAATATTTCTGCCAAACTTCAATAATAATACATATCCTTTGGAGATTATTTTAACTACTAATTCATGTATTCGAGAATAGATTCATATGTCAACACATTTTTTTCGTTTTTTTTATGGTGTACATTAAGACGCTCTTGACTTAAATTTAGAAAATAGAAGGGAATAGGTCTTCTGTATTGAAAATATAGAAAAATAAAGTTTGAAATCGAGTTTTTTTAATGAAACTTGCAAATAACTAAAAATTTTTCAGATGACTAATGCATGTAACGTTTTCCAATACATTTGGTTCTAAATCTTATGAATAAAAAGTTTTTTTTTTCTTCAGATCATAACGTAGAAAGTTATCTTATTATCCAATAAACCTCAACTCGAATCATATTCTTCGACTACTGAATGAGATGTAGTATAATCATTCTTTCTTGCTTTGCGAAGGACATTCTTTTTTCTATATTCTATCATTGCATCATGCTCTACCAGCACAAGTATATAGTCATCCTAATTTTAAATTCAAAAAATAAATTCATCAAATGAACTCAAATAAATAATCCATAAAACACATACTGATTTCATAAGTCAAGTTATTGTTTTTCGTTTATTAATAAATAAGAAGAAAAAAGAAAATTATAATTGACAAGTCAATTTTCGATAGACTTCTTTCATAAAATCTTTTGATGCTTTCCGAAAAACTGTACCGCCACTTATTGTATAAACATAAAATGGCATACCACTTGCTATAAAAGCTAGAATTACTTCAATATTATATAGAAAATGATTTAAAGCATCTTCTTGTTTGCTAAGTAAATTATGTGGTTTAAATGTAATATAAAATTTTTGTATTGCTTGTGGAATACAAAATATAGTTAAAAGAAGAACTTGTACTAATAACATTCGAACTAAATGATGATCAATTTTTTTTATTCTTAATTCTTCTGTTCTTGATGGTGTAACTGTTGATATAATTGTTCGTGTATGTACACGAGTATGAATATGATGTACATTTGAAATAATAATTAAACCAAATATAATCATTAAACTTAATGGAATTATTATTGTTATAATAGCATAAATTAAATCAGTCATAATATGACATTCAACTGATTTACCATAACATTTTAATGGTTCATCCTTCATATTAGCTTTATAACAGCAAATCATATGAATATAAAAAACAATCGATAGAATTACAACGATAAATATTACTCGTTTAATATTTTTTAAATTACTCATTTGTCGACGATGAATATCAATAGATGATAATAACCATCGATCAATTGTAGCTAATGTAATTAACCATATGGACATTGTTCTTGTACTAAATACAATAAAAGCACGAGTTTTACATGCCCAATCAAATGTATTTGTTGGATCAACGTGCCAACCAGCTAATATTCGAGTTGGTAAACCAATTAGAATGGAGATAAGACTAGTAAAAGATGAAATCAAAAAAAGTAATGCACATGAATTTGATCGAAGTGTTCGTTTTGATAGAATAAGACAATTTAGAATATTTCCTACTACACCAACAATAAAAATGATAGGTGCTACATATCTATTGAGTTGATCAGAGATATATTCTAATGATTGAGTAAATTCATCAGTCATTGTAATTTAAAACAAAAATATTTTCAATAATACAATTGACGATAGAAGTAGAATAGTAACGCACAGACTTTATGGGACGTTTTGTTCCGAACTCAAGAAAATATTGAAATTGTTTTAAAATTTTTTGAGTTGATAATGTTTTGAACTTGTTCTAGAATGTGTAACGAATGAGATTTTTTATACTGAGAGATTAGTAGTAAATATTAATTTCCGCAATATAAGTATAATGGATCTGTTGAAAGAGAAAAACTGTAGATATAGTAACTAATAAGAGAATCTTTATGAATTTCAAGTATAACTATTAATACCTTTTAAAGTCATCATATCAAATTTAATTGCACCAATTGAACTTCTTTATATAAAACTTTTATATATGTCATTCGAGCATATTTCCAGTAGCTATTACATTCGCTGAAGTTAAGTTTTATCTTCAAAAAAAGCGATTAGTTCAACATCATTGAAAGCTATTGTTCTATTTTCAATTAAAAATTCTCTATGAATGCCTTTGTTCATCCTACTAATAATTCTATTTATGTCAAAACAAAGTAAAAAGTTTTTTATTCTCTTATGCTTATATATCTATTGTAATATATAATCAATCTGTAATCTATGAGCATTGTAGATTAATCGACAACATCTTGTACGATTAGCAATTTATATATTAAATCGAAAAGTTGAATTTAATTATTCAATATCTTATATCTGAAATTTAAATATTCAATTAATATCTTAGATCAGGATTCGAGTATTTTCCTCCGCGATTCGTTGTACGCTTGATCCAACTTTCATTTTGATGGATCTAAGTAGATCTCGACGAGCCCCATCAAATGCACTAATTTTTATCTAGTTTCAATAGAGCCATTATTACTAAAAGTTCGTCAAGTTCATATATATATATATATATATATATATATACATGTGTGAAATGTATGCTAAAAATATTGTTTTGTATCAGTTTTCCTTTTTTGAAGTTGAAATAGGTGTAGTATCACTGAACTTATGTAGAACTTGTCTATCTCTACAAGGTCCAGTTTTTTTGTTGGTTTTTAAACATTTCCTGTCAAGCGTAGCATGTAATGTCCTAGTGTACTAGTGGTTGAATACTAACGTATTATCCGCAATAAGATAGTGCGAGATAATGTAAATCTTTAGATAGCTTGAACTGATGCCTGCTTGAAATGAAGATAACTGTAGTGTTTGTTTTTGGCTGGGTGTGGGTGTATGTATAGATCTTTCTTTTACTCACACTCACACCCACACCCCACTTTTCCAATTTTCTGCTGTAACAATTATTTT